AAAACATCCAGCTTTTATGTAGCAATACTTTAAACAAGTTAGGGTTCTTCACTTTGCTGCTGGATGTGCATCCAGGGAATTCACACAAACAGAAGGCTGGTTTGGCTGGACGGATGGACAGATGGATGGATGAATAAATACAGTCGAAGCTGGCCTGATGGCTGGATATACAAATGAACACATAAACAAAAGGAGAACAGGACAAAAAAGAAACATGGAAAGATGAACTAACTAGATGGCTCAGTTGTGCCTCCCAGGTTAGGTTTCACCCAGAGAGTTTCTCTGACTCGAACTGAGAGCGACTGTGAGAAACACAGCTTCTTAAACCTGTGTGGGCAGGACACAGTGCTTATTCTCATGTCTGAACGCATGTGTCAGTGATGGGTGCACCTTAAAGTAGTTCATTTGAAGGGGTACCTGGAACCTTTGGACACATAGTGTATGTTACTTTGAATAAATTGATTTCTTAATGAACACATTCATTTTTTTTGTGTACAGTTACATAGACTGCCACACCTCTGGCTTGTTGTGTTGGCTAGCATAACGTTTAACATAATGTCTGTTATGATCACAAGATATCTTTCATTTATTTCATATAAGACAAATATTTTTATCTTATTTAATTGTAAAACAATCTGTATACTTTATTTTCTGTTTACAATTCTCATGCCTTTCATTAAAAAAGAAAACAAATTCTTATCATTTAAGTCTCTGTCCAGGCCTCAGCTTGGACCTGACTTGTGTAGTTTCTTAAGGACTTTGCACTTGAATGCAAGTGACGCGACTACAACGCTGGTTAACGCTAATGCTCAGTTTCCTCTGAAGCATGTGAAACCAGCTACTGCACCTCTTCCCATACGGTGTCACCGAGCAGCTTAAAGAGGAAATTCTCTGTTTCTGTGTTTGTAGGTAGACACCTGTGTTCGCAAGAAGGTCACTAATATTGAAAGTTGCATAGAAGCATCCTGTACCACTCGATGACAAAATATACAGTTTTCCTCTCACAGACGCAGAAGCCACAGTAGCAAGCAGCACTGCTCTCACTGTTAAAGGCCTCTCTGACTGGACTCTAACAGGATATGATAGGAAAGTCTGTTTTACAGGGTTTAGGTGTTAAAACATCTAATTGAGTTTATGATGTATCGCTGTTCTCAGAGGAAAACCTTGTATCTCCAAAACGGTAACTTTACAGGAGAAAACCCTACTTTACTTTTAATGTAAGTCAATGGAACCAGATTTTGTTCCAAGTCATTTTAAGTCATTTCTTTTAGTCCATTTTAGTCATTAAATTCACACACAATGTAAAAGGTGACAGGCATTTTTTAAAATTATGTAAAAACCTAAAAAATGTTAAAAATGGAGATACAAAGTTTTCTTCCGACAAGAGTGATATGTTTGTATTCTATTATTTTGCCATGTCAAAGATACATCTCCCAGAATGCATCTGTTCATCAACTTCTAAACAGACAAAAATGGAAAATTTACCGTATTTCTTGCCAGTAATGACTTTCCAAATGACTTTATAACAAGATTATTAATAAGGACTACGACCAATTTCTGAATATTTCTACACAGTTCAATTGTCAAGATGTAAACAAAGTCAGTCTGAGCAGTTTGATCTGAAATGCTTCACTGTAGAGGAACTTATTGAGTCACTGTGGTGATAACAGGAGCCAGATATATGAAGCATTTAATGTCTCTAAATGTGGCCTCACAGGAAGCTCTGACTGATGCTTGAGACATTGTTTTACGAAAGTTTTGAGAGAAAGTTTTTGGCTAAAATCTATTCAATCTGCGTAAGTATATACAGGTACATACAGATTCACTGCTATGTCACCTTTATCAGCTTTACATATACATACAAAAACTCAGAAAACACATGTAGGTTCACTGGTAGTTTTGGATCAGAAATAAAATGTTTATATTTGTGTTTCATCGAACCTCAAGTTCTTATCAGAACCACAGTGAAGAAATTTGAGTCGGTGAGTTTCTCTATAAAGTTCCATTTCACATTAAAACACGACTGATGACATGAATAACACGGTTTGGATCTTAAGGGTTGAATTAAGTAGAAATTGTCAAAAAATGTGGAATTTTTAATATCGTTTGAATTGTGTGAAACGAAACACAGGTTTTTAACATTTAAATTCATATTCAAATTCTATGACATGGCTTCTGCTGTACATTCAAATATGATGTGAATTTTGTGCTTGGTTTTTGCTGATGGAATGAAATGTGGTTAAACTGGTACGAAGTGTCAGAAACTTTTGTGAAGGTTCACAGTCTCCTTTCTTCACTGTGGTTATAATTAGCCAAGTGCGATCTCACCTTCAGCTTCTCAAGAAAACCACACATCCAGCACATGAATATGACACAGCCAGACACATCTTCCATAAAGGAACATTCATATGCACATACTGAATAACGCATACACACATGTATGTATGTATGTATGTATGCATATATATGTGTATATATATATATATATATATATATATATATATATATATATATAATATATATATCGCTGCTGTCGAAACAAAACCTCTTATCTTCATTTTTGTCGTTTTTTCAGTTTTTGACATTTTTTCAGTTTTTGACATTTAAAAATTGACCAAAAGAAATGCCCAAAAAGTTCGGTTCCATTGACTTACATGTATGTTTCCTTCTCCTGTAAAGTTATCATTTTGGAGATACAAGATTTTGTTTCAACAACAGCAAATTATATATATATATATATATATATATATAGACACACACACACTCACACATTCATTCACTATACACCAACTTTAATGTTATCAGGGTGAATCATTGCAATAGAAAGTATTGCAAAGGTCAAACAGCCCACAGATGCTTATGATTCATATTACTAAACAGCTCTGAAAACAAACTGGAGAGTTGATGGACAAAATAATATTAAACAGCGTTCAGCACTGGTCTTATTGCCCACTTCTCAGACCATATTGTGCAGTATTTAAGATCCAAATTAGCGTTTTTGAATCATAAGTAATGTGACACACCCTCTACTGACTGATAAGTTAATCCACCTTATTCAAGCACCTCATGATGCTTTGAGTGGTTATGGACAGAACTTCCTGTGAAGTGTAAACAGTCTATGTTTGTTAAATGCTACCTACATCCTAACACAATAGAAACATGGAAATAAATAAAAATGTGAATAATCTTTATTTGGATGCTTAAATACTTTTGTGCTGATGTTTGTAAACGTTCTGGACCTGCGGGAGAAAAAGGCTTTAATCAGAGGGTAATATTATAGCTGAAACGCATCACTTATGCTAATAAAGTAAGTTCATTTCAACTTTTTAATTCTGTTCACACTCTGAGGTACAAGCATAGAACCATAAAGCATCGGCATTAATAGCATGTGTTTTTAAAGCCAGTGTTTCGATAATGCACCGTGTATCATGTAGTATATTAGCATCAAGCTAGTGAGGTTAGCTCAGCATGTTGGATTTTAATATCAGCTCTAGTTTTAGACATTTTAAGTCGGTAACGGGCATGTAAGTACCACATTATTTACCTTGAATGTTTCAGTTTTTAAGTAGGTCTTTCGTGAAGGTTTGAACTCGGAGTCTTGTATTATGCGAGCATTAGCCTGTCAGCTGGTCTGGTTTTTATAATGTGCAAACCAGTTAAAGGGGATTGAAAGACATTTAATGGGACAAACAGTAATGAACATCGCTTCCGTTTCCCCAACCTGAAATACAGACAGTATCAGAGCCAGCTTAAGAGGCACCTGGCCACTTCCTATTTCTCCCATTATATCAAAAACATGACTGCAAAGTGCCTGATGGCGCCCGTGAGTGAGTCCAAAATGAATGGGAATGAATGGAGCTAAACAGTTAAAAACAAACTAACACACACTCTAAGCCATTTATCCTTTAGGGTCACAGGAGCCTATCCTGGGGTCACTGAGGGGGAAGGCAGGAAACACCATGAACAGGTCACCAGTCCGTCACAGGGCAGACACACAGACATACATTCACACCTATAGGCAATGTAGCATCTCCAGTCAGCCTGACTGCATGTCTTTGGACTGTGGGAGGAAACCCATGCAGACACAAGGGGAACATGCAGACTCCACACAGAGAGGACCACTGGTCCCCCGGCCAGGGAACCGAACCCAGGCCCTTTTTGGTGTGAGGCGATGGCGCTACCCGTTGCACCACACTTGGACTCGGCAGCTCCTGGAATCAAAGAGTCCAGCCTCATTTCTCCAAACAATAAATTTACCAACAAAAACCTCTTAATGTTCATCATAATGTAACAAAATAGTATTCTAAGTTATTTTGGGACATTTCTATAAGTCTGACAGCAACAATAAACTCGCATACCATTAGCGTATACTAATATTGGTTAGCATGTCGTTGCTGTCAGAACAAAACCTCGTATCTCCAACTTTCTCCAAACATAAACTTTACAGGAGATGGGAAAAAGAAATATTCTTGTAATAGAACAACTGTAACAAGATTTATTGTCATTCTGAGCCATTTCTGTGGGTTCATTCATCATAAAACAGGTAACAGGACTTTTTCAATTATGCCAAAAAATAAAAAGCAAAAGAAATTGTTGCATGATAGTGATGAACTGCTAATAGTATAATAAAAATAGTAATAGTGTATAAGTATAATAGTATATTTTAAGCTATTTTAAAGAGTGAAAGAACTATTTATGAATTTTACAATCGGCGCTTCAGGAATTTAACATTTTGTATCAGAAATGCATAAGAAAAGACACGGATACGGTGGTTTATTTGGAACGAGTGCTGACACCAACAACCAAGCAAAGCAGACTACAACACAGTTCAGTAAAATTAAGGCAGCCTATGTTGCTTGGAATCAATGTAAAAGTATATATATGCAAGTATACATGCATATCAATGCCGGACCCTAATGGCATAGAATGCATAAACAACTTGCAGTGAATAACATAAATATAAAGCTGGTTCCAGCTGAGGTCAAAAATTTTTTAAAGGTTTGACATTTGACTGGTTAACATTTAATCGAATAGTCTTTTTCACACCTGTTTAAACACAAACTCGATGGCCCACAACTTTCACAGACACTCCTACGACTACAGAGCCCACGCCATGTCATTTCCATCAGGACTCCCCCGACTCCTTTTCCACCCTTCTTGGGTTCACAGTAAAACACCACGAAACCTGGAACTTTTTGCAAACTGGCAAAACGTAAGCGCTTAATATTGAGGTCTATAACTGCTGATAAGCACAACATATATAAATAAATAAGGCAAGGACAACACAAATGTGTCAAGTCGTTTGATCAAGCTCCCAAACATGTTTATATAGGCCTACATAAATATATATAAGCATATATTAATGCATCCTGCTTGTGAAACACATTGTTCACACAAGTCAGTACTCAGGTCTAGATACACAACACACCAACACAGCAGGTTCTATAAACGTTGTACACAGTAGTAATTTCACTTCTTAATACTAAAAGATTCAACACAACAAAACTGGTGATGGATTTGTGAAGAATATTACTTGCAAGTTGGTTTGCAGCTCAGCTCGATCAGCTTGAAGGTGGTTTCCATCAGTCAGCAATGTTTAGTTGGGGAGGGGTTGTACAGGAAGTTCTACCTCCCGACCACATCACGGTTCTTTCCCCCAACTGGTGTGATGTCACTTTTTCCTGGTGACCAGCTCGTAGAGGTGTGTTAAATGGAAACGGTGAAGTCCCGCTCGTGAAGCCGTCCACTATAAATTAGGCCAGCGAGCGTAAGGTGATCATAACCTGCACAGGAGGACACAGGGTTACACCTAAAGATCGAGAAGACTCAGACATGAAGCCATACAGCATCGCAGCCATCGGCATTCTCCTCTTCGCCTTCTGCTCGGTGACTTTCAGCCAGAGTAAGTTTTTCACCTTTCAGTTACACAGTTTCTTAGTTCGTAAAGCGTCTTCTGAGTTTGTTGGTTACTCAGAATGGCAAAATTCACAGACATTCTTCTTTGTTAAATTATTACTCTTGCTTGTATTGTATAAATGATAAATGTTCTCACTTCAATTTCAGATGGTCACATGCCTGAAAGGTGCTGTTTCAAGGAGAACTACCTCACTTCACCAGTCCCTCAACATAGGGTTATGCGATTTGAGACCACGAGCCCTTCATGCACTGACCCCGGCGTCATGTAGGTATTTTTTAGCTAAGCAGAGATGAATCTATGAATGTAATGTGAATGTAATTTTACCGTAAATAGAGCCACGACAGCCTTGTTTGTAAGTTAATCCAAGTTTCTCTTCAACTCCACAGATTCCACACAGTTGCACAGAAGCAAATCTGTGCTAATCCATCTGACAAGTGGGTGAAGAGGCTGATGAAATTTGTGCAGAAACAAATGAAGAGCGCTGCCACAGAGGCCGGTTCTGGAGAGAGCACTGACCCCTAAAGGCTCGTCTATAAGCTAACATCATGGACAAGACTGTTCTCAAACTCTTCTGTTTTATTGGACTCTTCAGTAGTTGCTTTGCAACCTATCATATTTCCTTTTTGTTTGGGCAAATTGCTTGTATATTTTAATATACATTGCTTGTCAATATACATGACTTTTCTGAATTTCTTTGTCTTTTTTATATGTATGTATATATTTTAATCATCTTCATGCTTTAAATTAATATATGCCCTTTGAAAGACAATAAAAAAAGCATTTGAAACACAACCCTTTTCAGATTTTCTTTAATATTTGCATGGCATCATGTTAACTGTTAGCTTGTCTACTGTGGCTCAATCCAGAATACAAGCCTATTGCAGCTCAATGACATGTTAAATTAATAAAGAAATGCATTTTATCTTACATGGAGAATATATTCTTTTCCACTATGTTGGTCAGAGAGCTGTAAACAAATCTATTTATTCTTGATTCTTCCAAAGGCCGCAGTAAGGATGCACCCCTTTGAACACCTAAATTAGAAATGAGACCTTATAGCCTCACAGCAAAATGAGGACCGCAGGGTCACAAACGTTTAGCAAAGGATCAGGATGAGGTTAGAGGCAGCCTGAGCAACAACTCACACATTTCCTAGCCAATCAGAGCACTTATAAAGCGCACTCACGGAAGACTTGGTGAAATTATGTATAATTTGGCACATTTTGCTGCCCTTTCACCAGTGCTGCTCTAGACAGTAGCCTAGTTTTCCTATATGGATGCGGTGGCCATGTTTCGGTGTCACACAGAGACTTGAGAACATTTTTATTTCATTAAAGTATTTAGTTTGTTTTTTATAATCATTATGTTTCAAACAAAGGTTAGATTTGTGCTAATATTTTTCAATAATACAGGGTTGCTTTAAAATGACTTTTACTTACAAACATGTTTTTACCATCAGAATTAGTACCTTCCCTAAATTGCATGTGAATTCCATTCAGTAACATATCTTAATTGCTAGTCCACAGAATCTGATTCTCAGTCTTTTTCTTAGAGGTCTAATTTTAATCATAGGTTTATTCCACAGATCTTGCCTCTGTTTGAACAGAATTTCTGCTTAATGTTTATTGTAAAATAAATAGTTCTGACTGGCTGAGCCGCATTCAAAGCCATTGTAAAATACATGATAGATGCACACCTATGATCACCTCACAGCAACTGAACTCTGTATTATTGCACCACAGCATGAAAAATCCTTGTGCTGTTAATAGAATAATCTGTAATGCTGCTCATACGGAGTATATTGATGAAGTTAGAACACATTTTTGTTTAAACTGAGGGGCTGACAACTTATTTTCTTGACTAGAACAAGGCTGGACAGCGAGCTAACAGGCTAAAAGACTCCATAATTAATATCACAGGCTTGAATGAAAGTACTTATGTATGATCCATTTTAAAACGGCAGTATAAAGTCTAAAGAATGTCACTTGAATGTTTTACACACTTCAAATGTTCGTGTTTCAGTCAGAAGTCACGTCAAACCCAGGCTGAATCCCAACTGGCTCCGTACTCTCTAAATAGTGTTCTAGCTATGAAAGCTTAGAAATTCTAGCCCCCACAGCCAAACATACATACATCCATCATCTAAACCGCTTATCCTTCTGGGTCGCGGTGGGGTGCTGGAGCCTATCCCAGCTGTCATTGGGCGGAAGGCAGGATACACCCTGGACAGGTCGCCAGTCCATCACAGGGCAGACAGACAGACATACACAGTCACACACACACTCACACCTAGGGGCAATTCAGCATGTCCAATTAGCTTAACTGCATGTTTTTGGACTGTGGGAGGAAACCGGAGTACCCGGAGGAAACCCACACAGACACGGGGAGAACAGGCACAGAAACTACCCTGGTCGCCCGGCCGGGAATCGAACCCAAGCCATTCTCGCTGTGAGGCGACAGCGCTACCCACTGCGCCACCGTGCCACTGTGCCACCCCCACAGCCAAACAGTGCATCATCTATCGAGTGTGGATGTGTCCGAGTCCCAAACGACTGTTTCTTAGCTGTATTTTGCTCTGTTGGGCTGCAGGATCCAGTATTTAAACTCCTATGTAGTGCACTATGTAGGGAGCAGGGAGCTGTTTAAGATTCAGCCCCAGTGTAAGAAGAGGGCACCACTGGATTGGTGCTAAATAAGAATCGCAGTGGTGATTTAGTGACCAAAAAGTACATATAAAGAGAATGTTTCTGCATTAAACAGTGCTGTGTTATCATATGTTTATTGATATATACAACAAAAAGTTAAAAAGGTTATGAAATGACAGCAATATTCAGCGATGGGTGACCGAACGTTCTCCTCATTCAGCAGTCAGGGGTTGCTTACCATACTCTACATAACTACATTTCTTGGTGGAATACTTATGTTGATTATTATTAATAATAACTTAAATTATTTCTGAAAATCGTGTATTTTATCATATGTCATGTTGGCCACCATTTCATTTACCTGAGTCAATAAAATCACAGTAACTCAGGGCCTCTTGTGGCTAATTGCTTTAAAAACTTCTTTCATCACAATTCTCACACCTGTCATTCGTTTATTGTAATGTTGCTGTCTGGTGTTAACCTGACGAGGACAGGGTCCCCTGTAGGTCCATCATTCCTCTTACTCTGAGGGTTAGAGTTTCTCCTGTCCCACTAGACTCGTTGATTTTTTATAAAACGAGCTTTGAGAACATTGGTTGTGAATAGTGCTGTACAGGTAAAGCTGAAAATAAGCTTTAAAAAAGCTGATCTTACATGTTGACTGTGAGAATCAGTGTGTTGTGTGACACACAGGAAGCTTTCTTGCTGACACTTGCACTTTTCTGAGATTGCTGAGATACCTGGACTTGTTGCATGAGCAGCTACGAGCTGTAGACCAAATTTCTTAGAAGCTAAAACGAGCAGTTTCTTTCTGACGATCTCCAATGCGAGTTTCTACAGCTGTTACAGTCTCACGATTCCATACTGATAGTTCTGTTTTTTCCTGTGCTCTACCACCAGTTAGTAAATGAGCAGGGATGGAAAATACCTAAGTATTATTTTGGAAGATTTATCCCTCCTGATACTGAGGCCTGTACAGACTACAGACTCGAACTCTTTAATCATAGACACAGCTTCACCTGCCTCACATCACTCTGAGCTTTTCTCATTTTCATACTAACAGATCATCACTGTGACTTGGAACAGGAGTCGCTGACGTTCATGGCTTTTCACTGTGATACGCTCCTAACAGTAGACAGTCATTTTCAATGGTAACAGTGACTGATTTTCATTGATTTATTTTTCACTGTTACTCTGATAGGCCTCTAACAGTGCAGTGGTCATTGGTTATCAGTGGCTGATCTAAATACTTTTGTCCATCAGTGGGGCGGTTCTTTTTTTCCTTTTCTTTTTATTCAATATTTATTTAATATAATTAATTAATATACTAGCTGTAAAATCTTGTCCTGTATTCATATTGCTCTTTTTTGTTTTTATTTTGCCACCTGGTGTTAATCAGAGGAGGATGGGTTCCCTTTTGACTCTTGGTTCCTCTCAAGGTTTCTTCCTCTTGCTCTTGGGGAGTTTTTCTTTACCCCTGTCACTCTTGGCTTATTGAATTATTGTGTGTATATATATATATATATATATATATATATGTATGTATGTATATATATATATATATATATATATATATATATAAACAAACCTCGTATCTCCAAAACAGTAACTTTACAGGAGAAGGAAAAAAACTTCTTTATTCATAATGTAAGTCAATGGAACCAGACTTTTTCCAAGTCATTTTGAGCCGTTTCTTCATAATGTAAAGGGCAACAGGCATTTTCATATTATGTCAAAAACTGAAAAATGACAAAAATGGATATATAAGGTTTTCTTCCAACGGCAGTGAAATATATACATGTTTGTACTCCTTACATTTTCATTTAGACCTTCAAATGTTTTTTTGCAAATTTCAAAAAGCATTACATTTTTTATTTTTTTCTCTTACAAATCAGTCGTCACATTTTATTTGCTTTATTTAAGACATCCATTCAGATTCTATTCTGTGTACAAAAACAGTGCAAAACTGCACCACCCTCAACCATGGGAATTAATTTTTATTGCAAGAAACAGGAAAAACGCCTATTAGTCACAACACCACACTGCTGTAAAGTTAAATTCAGTACATACATAGAGTGATATGACAATAAAAGCAATTATGATAATATCACACTACGTCTGCACCAAATTTTACCAACATTTAAGAGTTTACTAAATGAGTTCAGGCACACTTGGTAGTCTAGGTGACGTAGAGATTGACCTTGTAAAAAAGCATGCCCTGCTTTTGTTATCTTTTAAATGTTTCCTTTTACTCAGACCATTCATTTGATTTCCGCTTAAAATGGCCATTAAGTACAATATATTCACTTTTCAGCAGCTGAAAAAAGGCAGAAAGCATATATTTGACAGAAATATTTGACTAGATTTTACAGTTGCCTTAACAACTAAATATAATATCAGATTTTTCAGTATTTAGTGTGTCCACACTTTGACTTTATTACAGCTTCCACTTTTTCAGGAGACGTGCTTTCAGTTTTTCAAAGAAATCTGCAGGGATGTTTTCACACACTTCTAAAGTTCAGTCTTAGAAGTTGGTTGAATTTACATCACCATTCAAATAATCCCAAATACAAGTTTACACTCAGCAGTCTATGAAACCCTAATCCACATCTCCAGTTTCAGTGATTTAGTGCAAATACTCTTCTTAATTGTCCATTTTCTTTTCTCAGTTTTCTCTAAAGGATGAGAGCTTTGAATACTGATTATCAGGTGGTGACAGCTTTGGTTGGTCTATCAAGTCTTGCACAGTTGTTAGAAGATATAAGTGTATTATTGTATTTCTAATCTAATGAAAAATGGATAACTTGTGCTTAATTGACTGGCAATGAAATAAATGAAGGTGGTCTCTGACTCTGTACAGTACCGTATATACCTATATTTTTAGTTCTATACTTCCGTGTTTATTTGAGTAGTATTTTGACACAGAACCCAAACTTTCACTGAAGTACAGTTTTTCTACCCCTGTTAATGACCCATCATCACATTCAAGGGCTACTCAAGAATTCCAATAAGTCAAGGATAAGGTAGTAGATATATATTATAACCAATGCCAAAGTGGGTAATCCGGACAGTCGGGAGAATTCTTAGTGAGCTATTAGCAATTAGAACATATGAACATATATAGAACATATGCAAGATATTTTTTAT